GAAATACTTTTTAAAATAAGAGGAATAGTTTGCAAACTTTACTACCAATCCTTTAAACCTAATTCTTTCTGAATTGTATATATGTATTACATGTTATACACACACACTCACACACACATACTACATATGCAGACAAATAAAATATATATAGGAAAAATAACACAAGAACCAAATTTGTGGTCAAAAGCCTCAATAATTTTTTTTAAATTTTATTTATTTATCTTTAGAGGGGAAGGGAAGGAGAGAGGAAGACAAATATCAGTGTGTGGCTGCCTCTCATGAGTCCCCTGCTGAAAACTGGCCTGCAACCCAGGCACGTGCCCTGACTTGGAATCGAACCTCGATCCTCTGGTTTGCAGGCCCACGCTCAATCCACTGAGCTACACCAGCCAGGAAAAGCCTCAATAATTTTGAAATAAATTTCCAAAAGTGACTCTCACCTGAACTACTACAATTACCTGCCAACTGGTCTCTGTATTTTATTCTTGTACCTATTTCTTGTCTCTATTTCACACTGTTCCCAACTATCTCTTAAGGGGTATTATCACTGGTGATTTTTACATCACATTATGATGATACCACATGATAATAACCCCTCTCTACTTTTAGGCTCTGATTTTATTCCCCTCTTTCCACATGCCACCACCACAGAACAGATCCTAATATACTTTAGCATTAATGTCTAAAATACTGATGTGTATGTTTAATAAAATATTGACATTGTATCATGAATAGTTCCCTGTTTTTCATTTGTTTTGGGGAACCTGGGGATGTTTGTTTACTTGTGGTTCTGCTTTGTGATGATTTCACTAGAATGTTTTTTCTTCATCATTAATATCCACTACAGTAGAAATCCTGTCATCTCTACTTCCAAAATATGTCCTGAATCTGTTCACTTCTTTCCATCTCTCCTGCAAGCACTCCAGTCCAAACACTATTATCTTTTACCTGGACCAACAGAACAGCCACCTGTCTCCTTATTTCCATTCTTGCCCGCTGCCCATTACATTCTGCACACCACAGCCACAGAGACCTTATTATAACACAAATTAGATCATGTCACTCTCCTTCAAAAGGCTTCCCATTATAACAGAGTAAAATCTGAGATTCCTTACATCGACATAATTCAATTCCAGCCTACCTTCTCTAAGTTCATCTCTCTCATGCACCATAAAGAGCCACACTAGCAGTTCTGACAGTTTTAGAGTAAGCCAAAGTTGTTATTGCCTTGGGGGCAACCTGCATTTAAGCAAGCATCTCTCAACCTGGACTATTCTAACCTTTGTTCTTTGCAGATTCTTTCCCACCATTCAGGGTTCAACTCAAAGTCCATCATTCAGAGAGGCCTTCCCTGACCACTCTGGCTAAAGCAGGGCTCCCGACCCCTGTCTATCAAGCCTATCGCCCTGTTTTATCTTCTTCACAACATTGTCTATCTCCCCAACATGTAGGGACCTTGTCCATCCTGTTCACTGCTATACTCTATGCCAAAATATTTCCCAAAACGTTGTACATAAAAATAATTACATGTTGAATGAATGATCTCTCATGAACCAATGAGAGGTCATTCATTCAACAATTTGAACCAATGAATGACCTTGGTTCAAATTGTTTGGTCTCTGAACAAATGTTCAGGTTTAATGCCTGAGTGTTTATATATTGATTTGGTTATAACATGCTTCATTAAACAAAACCCATTTTAACTTCTGATTTCATTATCTTCTCTTCCTTGTCTTTAAAATATGGAAAAATGTCTAAGTATTTTATAAACACCACATAGATACAGACTAAAAAAAAAAAGGAACCAAAGTTTGTTCTATGCCCAAAATTAAGAGAAATCATTTCCAAATCCTAAGCTACGGATATTTGTTCATGCCATTTGACTTTCAACAAATGGAAAATAACTACTTTATGGGTAGAACTGTTGGGATTCAAGTTTTTAAAAAGTTATTTCTTCTTATTAACCTTGTGGTTTCCTACTGATTTAAAGATTGAAGGAAGACTAAATCTGTATCTATGTTAAAAATACTTAGTTGCTGATAAAAGATTGCCTACAAACATTGTCTTTTTTTTAATCCTCACCCAAGGACATTTTTTCATTCCTAAAGAGAGAGGGAGGGAGGGAGGGAGGAAGGAAGAGAAACACTGATGTGAAAGAAACATCAATTGGTTGTCTTTCTTGTAGCCACCCTGACTGGGGATCAAACCTGCAATCTTGGTATGTGCCCTCACCAGCCATCCAACCCGTGACCTTTCAGTTACTGGGTGAGGCTCCAACCAACCGAGCCACATTGGCCAGGGCCAAACATTGTCTTTAGAGTAGTCCATTCATTCCATATATATATGCATCCTTAGTGCACTGCCTGAGATAGTTAATGCACATGCATGTTGAGTAAATGAATGGACTACCTAAAAACAATGGTGGGAAGTCAAACAACAATTCTAATATAGTGCCACAACCTCCATATGCAGAGTAACATGCTGGAAGAGGGCAAAGCTACAACTACAGAGGAGGGGTCAGAAAAAGTGTCTGAGTGGTGCTGTCACACTTGGGATGAGTCTTGAGGTAAACAGATAAGAGATGGAAAGGACGGGAGCTCCAGACAAAGAAAATTTGAAATGTAAAAGCATGCTGGCTTTGGCAAGTGAGCGACGCAGCAGAATCATGAGAACAAACATGAAGAGTGGAAAGAGATGAGGCTGAAAATGTGCGCAAGTTGCAGATAACAGAGTACTCCATATACAGTACTAAGGGATTTAGATTTTGTCCTACAAGGTACTTAATACAGATCCCTATGGAATCATGTATGTAGCCTGTAGGTTAAGAGATTTCTCTTAAAGAAACCTTTAATTTTCAGTTTGATAAAAACCTAACCAAAAAAAATGTTCCTAACAAGAGGACACTCTGGATCACCTGGATGACCAGCTTTTAATCAAGTACTGTCACAAGATTTCGGTTCACATTTGTGTTTAGGAGTGCACTGGTAAATAAGTAGTACCATTTGTCATGGGCACAGGTTAATGAGAAAACAACCAGGAGTACTTCATGTAAATGATGTTGTTTGCCAAGTGAAAGTCAAATAAAATCCTGACACAGTGAAGGACTGAAGATTTTACAGTGGTTTAAGGAAAGAAAAGGGTGAGGGCATTGAGCGAACGATCTCTCCACACAAAGACAAAATGGACGGGACTTTCTATAATAAGGAAGTTATAACAGGGAGAACAAAGAACATTTGCTTTTAGAGTTTCTTAGGCCTGGCAAAAACAGTTTCATTGGTAACAATGAATAAGTATTCATTTGAATTTGTTTTTAGTTTTGCTACATTTAACTTATAACTATTTATAAGTTACAGTTGCATAAAAGATACAACATAAGGAATTTATATATAGTTTTCTATTTGCATATATTTAACATACTGAAAATACTTTAACAATAGAGAATCCTGGGTATATACTTGGGTTTGACAAATTCTGCTCTGGGTGATTGGGAGCCATTCAAAGATTTTAATAGAAAAATAGCAGATTTGTGCTTTAGAAAAATCACTGGCAGCTCTGTAGAATGGCGGAATCAAAAGTATTTAAGGCAGAAAGGAGGTTGCTAATAAAATAATATCTTATCCAGAGAGTATGATAAGGATGGAGAAGAGCTGAATCAAAAGGACTTGGTCATGTGCCCCACCAGGTGGCTCAGTGATTAGGGGACCATCAATTACACCCAAAAGGAGCTAAGGTGGGTGGGACTGAGGGTGGCAGGTGGGCCTGGGTAGGGCCTGGGAAAGTGGTGGTGGGGAAATGGAGACAACTGTATTCAAACATCAATAAAAAAAAGTGTACACCAAAAGGTTGCAGATTCCATCCCTAGTCAGGGGACATACCTAGCTTGGGGTGTTCATTCCATCCAGGTCTGGGCGTGTGCCAGAGGTAAACCCGTCTATGTCTCTCTCCTCTCCCACCCTTCTCTCTGCCTCCCATCCACCCTCTGTCCTTCCCTTCCTCTCTCCCTCCCCCTCTCCCTCCCCCAAATAAAAAAATATATAATCAGGGGACTTTTTTTTAAAGGACTTGGTTATGGGTGAAGGGGTAACAGGCATCTAGGATGACTGTCTCTTGGGGGATTTGGTGGTGAGGTAAACACCACAAGAAGGCAAAGAAGTGACCATGAAGGGGAAAGAGAGAGAAAAGAGAAATGATGAATTCAGTTTCACAATGATTTGAATTTCATTTCAGCCAAAGAAAATCCAGTTATCTTTTCTGAGTCTCAGTTTTCTCAGTGACAGCTGCATTCATGAATTACCAAATTAACTATTTTAGCGCTGTCTAAAAATACACAAAGCACTCCACAATATGCTGTAAATAAGTTATGAAAAATCAGCAAAAGCCCAGCCCCTAAAGGAAATTCAGCAGGGTTAAAAAGGTGTATGCCAAATTTTTGCTAAACAATGTACTTCAACTACAACCCAATGAACCCACTCGGTATGTCACTTTTTGCTGTCCGATGTCATCTCTCCCTCGCGTACGTATTGAACAAGAGACAGCATGCCAACCCTACAAGGAAGATGCAAAGACAGCACTCTCAAACGACTTACAAACAGAGCAATGGGACGCATCTGGTACAAGATTACTAAAAATGTAGTGTATTCGGAACTTTGACCCTACAGGCAGGGTTAGCTATTTTAATTTTATTTAGAGGAATCAACATGTAATATTTTAAAGTTCAGTAAGAATGTAAACATTTCACATTTTATTTCCATTAAGGGGAAAAAAGGAGGCGAGTAGAAGGGAAATGCTGCTATTATCCCAAAATCAGCCTGTATCCTGGCAAGCCACAGAAGGGCGGGCCTACAGGAAAGAGTAATTCAACCTTGGTTTGGTGGGCATGCCTAGCATCCATCACTAACTCATAATACAAAAGCACAGGGTTTATAGACCCAAAATGTTTAACCATGAACCTCATCCACGTCGTCCAACTTGTTACTGAAGGGGAAAGCCGCGGGGCGTACCTTTAGTACAGGACGCTGCTTTGGGGGATTGCACTGGACACAGCGCTTCCCACAGAGAAAGTCAGGGGCTGAGAGGCGTGGGGGCAGCAGGCCGCCTGGGACAGGTCCCTGCGTGCGGGAACTGCGCTCGCAACCTTCTCCTTGCGGCCAGAGCAGACCGGAAAGAGGCGCCAGCTTTACCGCGCAGCCTCCGTCCGGGCCTGAGAGGACAGGGCGGAGCCAGAGGGCAGGGAGGGGCCAGGGGGCGGGGCAGAGCGGCAACTGGGTGGGCGGGTGCCGCTGCCCAAACCAAGCTCGGTCTCTGCTGCCTGATGGGAACTGTAGTTCTGGAAGCAAGCCCGGCTCCCTCAGAGGGCACCGCGAACTACATTTCCCGAGTAGGGAACGGCCCCGGCAGACCCTGCGTTCCGAGGGCGACGCAGCCGCAGCCGGGTCCAGAATCAGAGGGTGTTTGGGGACCAGGCCGTAAAGAGGGGTGGCTTTTCCTTCACTTTTCTTGGTGTCCGGGTGGTGCCAGTTCTGTGTGCCCTTGCCCCATTGCCGTGCGTCCCCTGCCCGGCTCCCTGTGTTTTTCCTAGTCCCCGCAGGGAGTTGGGGCCTCGAGGTTCCGAGGTAGGGGTCGCTGTCCCGCGCGGGGGTTGGGGGCGCGCCCCTCCTCCTAGGCCCTGTCAGCCTCGCCGCCCGGCCCGCGTCTCTATGGGCCCCACCCGGAAGCCCAACGTGTGTCCCCGGCTGAGTCGTCGGGCGCTGGGCTTCTTCTCGCGCGACGCAGGCGTGGTGCAGAGGACGAACCTGGGCATCCTGCGGGCGCTGGTGTGCCAGGTGACCACCGGCCCCGGGGAGCGGGGCGAAGGGCTGCGGGGTACCCGGTGGCCAAGCCTTCCGGGGTGCCTATTTTACGCGGTGGAGCCCCCTTTTTAAGAAGGTTATGTGTGATGGGCAGGAACATCATGCCCTGAACCTGGGGTTAGTCAGTAGGTATTAATAGGACCGCCAGATGCTTTTAGTTTTTTAAGCTGCTTATGTCGTTCTGCAAACAATCGTTTTCAAAGTCAACTCACTTAAACCAAAACGTCGGAGTGAGACAGAGTGAGGAAAGATTGAACATGTTTTTAAATAACACGTGAAATTTCTTTGAATACCCTAAATTTATGCGTCATAAAATTGGTGCACGGTAGAGGGTTATGAATTATTTCCTAAACTGAAACTCTTTGTGTCTTTCAGGAAAGTACTAAATTTAAGAATGTTTGGACTACTCATTCCAAGTCACCTATAGCCTATGAAAGAGGAAGAATATATTTTGATAATTATCGGTGCTGTGTCACCAGGTATCTTGGGGGGAAATTTTTTTGCTATGATCCACTTCACTGTTGATCTTAACTCTTATTTTTTTTTTTAGAAACACATGCCTACATTAGAGCTTAGTGATACCGGAGAATACAAAATGTGTCCAAAATATGTGGTAAAATGCATGTAATTTGAAAATTTTGTTAAATCTAAAGTTTCAGGTTTCATCTGTGTAAGTACCATTTAAAATGAAATTACTTTGTAGTGCAGGCAAAATGATAAATTGCTCCATAAGTTTCTTTAAATTAACACTACCTCTCCATAGGTGGTGCTGCCAGTAGTGTTTCTAATTCCTCCCTACTGCTTTTTATAATACTGCTGTCATTCATTTTACTTATATCCATAAGTTACAATCACTGAATACCTTGTTGCTATTATTATTGACAAGTTTTTATCTGTTATTAAAAATAAGGGTAGCCATAACCAGGTGACTCATGGTTGGAGTGTTGTTCCATAGACCAAAAGGTTGCAGGTTCTATCCCTGGTCAGGTCACATAGCTAGGTTGTGGGTTCCATTCGTGCTGGGGCATATACTAGAGGCGACCTACTGATGTTCCTCTCTCTCTCTCCCCCTGCCCTGCACCCCTCACCCCCTTCTTTCTCTAAAAATCAGTAAACATATCCTCCAGTGAAGATTTTTAAAAAAAGAAGAAAGCATTTTGTTTTACCTTCACTTATTCTCTAACACTCTTCCTTTATGTAGATCTGAGTTTCTGACCCAGATCATTTTTTTCCTTTCTGAAGCACTTCGAAAATTCCTTCTAAGGCAGGTCTACTGGCAGCATATTTCCTGAATTTTTGTTTGAGAAGGTTTGTTTTGTCTCATCTTTTGAAAGATAATTTCATGGGATACAGAATTTTAGGTTGGTGGGTTTTTTTCTTTTATCACCTTCAGTATTCACTCCATTCTCTGCTTGCATGGTTTCTAAAGACAAGTCCAATATAATTCTTATCCTGTTCCACCACAGGTTAGGTGTTCCCCCCACCACCCCATGCTTCTTTTTAAAAAAAAAAAAAAGAAAGAAAAAAAAGAAAAGAAAGAAAGATTTTCTTTATTTTAAAAGAGGGGAAAGGAGAGAGAAAGGGAGAGAAACATCAATATGTGGTTGCCTCTCATGCGCCCCCTACTGGGCACCTGGCCCACAGCCCAGATAAGTGCCCTGACTGGGAATGGAAATGCGACCAGCCTGTGAGTCTACTGAGCCATACATACCATCCGGGGTATCCCTCTGGTTTTTAGGATGTTCTCTTGTTTTTGATTTTCTACAGTTAGAATATGATATGCCAAGGTATAGATTTTTTTGGGGAGGGAGGTAGTTAATTATTCTTGATGTTCTGTAAGCTTCTTAAATTTGTGGTTTGGTGTCTGACAATTTGGAAAATTCTCAGCCATTATTTCAAGTGTTCCTTCTGTTTTGTTTTCTCTTTCTTCTGTTATTCCTATTATGTATATATTACATTTTTCTACTTATCCCATAGTTTTTGGATATTCTATTCTGCTTTTTAATTCTTTTTTTTTCTAGTTGGGAAATTCTGTTTTTCTCATTCTTTTTACTTTCTAGTGTGGGAAGTTTCTGTTGACATGCCTTCAAGCTCGTCCAAGACATTCTTCATTTGTGTTAGGGTGTTTTTGATTTCTAGCATTTCCTTTTGACTTTTTCTTTGACTTAAAAAAATGTCTGCTTAATTTTCCATCTGTTCTGGCATGTTGTCCACCTTTTCCATTAGAGCTTTTAGCATATTAATCATAGTTATTTTAAGTTCCTGATCTGATTAAAAATTCTAAATTCCCAATAAATTCCCAATCTAAATTCCAATATCTTATCTGAGTCTGGTTCTGATACTCACTTTATCTCTTCAAACTTTGTATTTTACATTTTAGTAGGCTGTATAATTTCTTTGTTGAAAGTTGTCTGTGATGTATTAGGTAAAAAAGAATTGTGGTAAACACGTCTTGAGAGTGAGGTTTTATGTTTCTCTGGCTAGGAATTAGGCTATGTTTGTTGTTGGCTGTAGCTGCAGGTGTCAGAAGCCCAGTTTCCTCTAGTGTCCTTGTTTTTGTCACCCCAGTACTGACTAGTGGCTTCCTTCTGGGTTTTGCTGCTGGTAAGGTGTGATTCTTGGTATCCACTGCTCTCTCTAGTGTTGGGAGCTGAAATTTGCCCTGTAATCTCAATTGTTTGATGGATATAGTAAGAGTTGTTGATTTTTAGTTTGTTCTTTTGTTTGTTTCTTGTAGTGAAGACAGGCATGATGACTTCCAAGCTCTTTATATTTTGGACCAGAAACTAGAAGTTAGGATAGTTTCTTAGGTAGTGTTTTAAATTTGTTCTGACTCAGGATGTCTCCTTCCAGCAATATTTTTCTAGTTCTTTCTGAGAAACTAGCCTGCTTACAGTTTAGCTTGTATGGCCAGTGAATCACCACCAATCTCTTCCCATTTGTTCATCACAACCTTCAGTGGTTCTGAGAGTACTCTTAGGCTAGAGCTTATCCATACTCTGTTTCAAATGAAGTCAGTTCCTGTGAGCATGGACTAGGGGCTGTCTGCTTTATGACCTGCTTCTCCACCCAGGCAAAATCTTGGAATTTTCCAAGAGCCCCACCAGGACTCTGGAACTGGCGATGATGGGGGTCAATGGCACACTTCTGTCTAAGTAACTGCTCTATTGTAAAAGCTGAGCATTTGGTGATGGGGCAGGCATTAGCCTCAGGTTTTCTTGCCTTTCTCAATGTGGAACCACTGCTTTATACGATGGGATAAGACAAATCCAGGCTCTAATGTTCTTTTGCTTTCATTTCCATGAAATTCTTTTTGATTTAAACCTTTGAATCAGTGAGAGAATATCAAAGGTGAATAAAATTATTACCCTCAAAATTGTGTCTAATAGTAGTTTAATTTGAAAGTTCAGTTAAAAAATGAAAACACTTATCAGCACATTTCAGTAGTAACCAGAGTAGTACAAATTAAAGGTAAGAGGCTATTTTCACATCAAAAATGTAGTGTTCAGTATTGGCAGAAGTATAAACTTGTTCAACCTTTCTGAAAGGCATTTGGGGAGTAAAAATTCTTAAAGGGTGTTTCCTTTTTTATCTACTAATTTGCATCCCAAAATAATGGGGCTCTTTATATGATTAATTTTTATTTAAGAATATTAGAGTAATAAATATGAATACCATGGATTTCAGCTAGGATATTCATAGTAAATGTTCATGGTTGTGTTTTGGAAAATAATCTGCAAGTAGATATATGTATGTAAAGAAAAACTAGAGGGAGCCCTCGCTGGTGTAGCTCAGTGGGTTGAGCGCGGGCCTGTGAACCACACGATCGAGGTTCGATTCCAAGTCAGGGCACATGCCTGGGTTGCAGGCCAGTTCCCAGCAGGGGACTCATGAGAGGCAACCATACACTGATACTTCTCTCCTTCTCTGCCTCTCTAAAGATAAATAAATAGAATATTAAAAAAAATAACTAGAGGGAAATGAACCAACATGTTAATAGTGGTTAGTTTTGATATTTTTATAGTATAAGTATACTTAGATTTTATTACATTTTAAAGAGTTTTTTCTATGAATATGCTTATAAATTTTATGATCAGAAAAAATGTTAACTAAGAAGACGAAAGTAAACAAGGTCAAGAAGTAGTATTTGGTAGTCTAAATCTCTGAGTAGAAAAAATAATCACACAAACTTGAGCAAATACTGTCTCAGTTAACAAGATGAATAATCATTAATAATTTTTTTCCTCAGTGTTGCATCAGAACCCAGAAAACTTTATGAGATGCCAAAATGTTCCAAATCAGAAAAAATAGAGGATGCTCTATTATGGGAATGTCCAGTGGTAAGATTTGTTTCTAAAGCATTTGTAGCCTACAACTGATTATTGTTAATATATTACATAAGGGAATAAAATTTAAATGTAGCGATTCTTGAATTTAGAAAGAAATCATAAGAGTTTATATTTTGATTATTATGTTTCCTCATAAAATAATATAAATATATTTTTAATGTGATACTATTTGTTAATCTTGAAAATTAGAAAAAGTATGAGCTGATTAAAAGCTCCATAATACAGAAAAACTAGTTTATAATTATTCTTCGTGCTTATGAAATCATTCTACTTGTTATACTGGAACAAAGTGTTTTTGTTACATGTTATGCTACACGTTATGGGCAACAGCGATGTTACATGACTGTTTGAAAGGGGATTCTTATGCGTTTCCTCTGAGAATCTTGTTAAGAAAATCATGAGATAAAGATAAAAGAAGAAAATAGGGTAGGCTCATTTTATTAGACCCGCATTGCCCCATAGTGTATTTTTCAGGACACTGTTTTGTTTAGATGCTATTATCTTATCATTGCTAAAGGGATTTAGAGGAAGTGGGTTGTAGACAAATAATTCTGGGATATCCTGAGTGTGAAAAGTTAAACAAATTTATAGAGTTACTTCTTAGAGCCTTTAATAGTAATAATGCTTATAATAACACTAAACTGCATGGTGATTGTCCAACCATTTTTCTAAACTCTTGATCATAGAACTTCCCTTTTTGAGGTTTGTTTCTAAATATTAGTCTTCCATGGGATCAGAGTATTAGAAAATGCCCTAGAAGATACAACAAATTAATCAGGTGTTTGAATCTGGTTGTTTCTTCTTTAGGGGAAATAGAACTCACAATATGTAATCAAAAATAATGTTTAAAGGATAAGAAATTATATTTTAAATTTACTGTTAAAATTGTTTTTAAAAAACAGTGTTGTTTTTACATAAAATTGGTGTTCTCTTTAGCAACTGCTTTCTTTTTCCCTGGGCACTTATTCTCTGTTCATAGAAGGATCCATTTTAAAAATTAGAAAGCTTTAAATCTGTGTTTTCTTCCCTAACTTCTTATCAAAAGCTAAAAATGCCTGTTGTGCCCCAATATCAAAAGCTTTTACATTGATTTTCATTGGTGCAGGGAGGACAATGATGAAATTCTTATTTGAGAAAAGTTTTTGAAGGCACTAATACAAAGCACCAAAAATTTAGAGCAGTTCTGTAAAAACAGAGTTTCAGGTAACCTAATTCCCAGTCTCATTTCTCATTAAACATTTTGTTCTCATTTGAAGTGAAGCAAGATTTTCCATTAAGGAAAACTGAGAAGCATATTGCTTTGTTTTTAAAATACTGATGTGAAACTATATTTAGCACCCTTCTTTTCTGAGACATTGTGTGGAATATAACTTTTGGTTTAGGAAAATAGCTCAAACCTATTATATATGCTCCTATATATATATATATATATATATATAATATATATTTAATAGTCAAGATATAAACAGTACATTTTTTAAAACTTTAAAAATCTCCATGAGATGATACTTATATAACATACCATAGAATAAAAAACTGATTAAAAGAAAAACTGTTCACTTATAGCCTAAGCAAACACTACATTAATTTTAACTTTCCTGTTTTTAACTTTTCTCTTATAACTTTCTTTTTATTCCACAAATCAAAGTAGAACCCTTTGCTTTCTTTCTCTTCCTGCCTCAGACTTCTACCTTGTGGTGGCTCTTCTGTGGCAGACCCACCCAAGCAGCCATCCTCTTCCTTTTTGGGGTGTAATTCCTTGGTGACATAGGTTACCTTTCAAACCATGGCTATCTTCTGTTCTTTTCTGGCTCTCCTGTTTCTGGATTATAGCTTTTCATTTGGAGTTAGAGTAGAACTAGTGAATAGTGGGATAATTTGCCCTTTTGCCATTTTGACTTCTATCAAAAGGAAAACAAGTCTTTGAATAAAGAGGTGTCTATTCTAGCAATGACTCTTAATTGCTATGTTGTTCTATATGGTTTTAAGAACTTGTTATTGCTATTATCATGATCACAGCAGCATCATTAGTAATACTCCTACTTTTATGATGATTGGTTAACATTTGTTGAATACTTAATGATTAATAATAATTAATAAGTAATAATTTATTTCAGGTATTGTTTAAGTGCTCTATCTGAATAGATTCAGTAAATTGATGATGAAAATACTCATGTTATCTTTCCTTGTCTTAATTCTCTCTTTGTGCATTTGAACATTTGCTGTTTTTTTGTTTACTTATTTGACTATTTAAGTGTTTAGCTATTTTCTTTGGACATTGAATACTGCAGATTGTTCATGGCCAAGAAGTTTTATTTTTACATCTCATTTTTTAGGGGGAAATGCTGCCCAATTCATCGGATTACAAATCTGCACTCATAGCACTGACTGCTCATAACTGGTTACTTCGTATATCAGCAAGTACAGGAAAAGTCCTTGAGAAAATATATCTTGCTTCGTATTGCAAATTCAGGTATTATTTGTGACTTTATTATTCAAGGTTTTATTATAAAAATTTGAGACTTGTGCAGGAAAAGCAAAGCTTTCAAAGCTGCTTTTTTAAAAAAGTTTTCCATTATATACCTGGATCTCGATTTATAAACCCATTCTTTTGCTCTCTTTATGACTACATTCAACCATCTGAGGGTACAGACCTTTTATAATTTTCTTTTTATGTATCCTCGTAAGTAATAAGCCTATAGTAGCTGGCAGATAAACTTTAAAAAATTCTTGTGCTTTCCATCTATAAATAACATTTTATATGTAAGATGTACTTTACTGTATGTTTTCTTGAAGGCTAGTCTGTTTTAGTTAAATTACCTGCCTTGTGCAATCTTAAGAACTGTTATTTTAATTACTAGTTTTATAAATCAGGTATGAATTTTTTGGAGAAAGTATGTGCTTTCAGGATGTGATGGTAACACTTTTTATAACTTCCATTTTAAAGCAGAAATAGTTATTTTGTTTCCTAAGTTTTGAATACTGTTAGATCAAACAATTTTTATTCATGAAATCTCTGGAAGGAGGGAATTGTTTTAGCTATTTACTTGTTTTTAGTATAAATTACTTTGCTTTTATAACTTAAATAACTAAAAAACTTACAAAATATCTATTATATTTTGATAAAACTTACAAAATATCTATTATATTTTGATTTAGAGTATCAGGAAACCTCCCCTCCCCCTTTTCACATGATCAAACTTTGCTTTACTCTTTTAAAAGATACTTGAGCTGGGACACGCCTCAAGAAGTCATTGCAGTCAAGTCAGCATTGGCCCGGCAGGTAGGCATCTTAAAAAACATTTAAAAAAATGAAGACTTTTTTTCCCATAGGAATTTGTCTTCAGATTGGTCATGAAAGAACTAATGATCTTTGTTTTCTGAAGCATGCTATAAAAGTTTACTACAAATTTAAGTAATTCCCATTAAGCCCCAACTGGTATGGCTCAGTTGGTTGGAGCATCATCCTGTAAACCTGAAGGCTGTGGGTTCGATTCCTGGTTAGGGTGCATGCCTAGGTTGGAGGTTCGATCCCCAGTCAAGGAGCCTATGAGAGGAAACCAATTGATGTTTTTCTCTCTTTCCTTCTTTCTCCCTCCCTTTCCTCCTCCCACCTCTCCTCTTCTCTCTAAAAGAAATGAAAAAAATGTCCTCAGGTAGAGAATAAAAAAATTCCTGTTAAGCCACTCTGGGGTAGTACAGATTATTTTACATTTCATAGTAGAAAGAAACTGACTGGATACTATTCTTCAAAGTAAGGGAGTAATCCTCTTCCAGCAGAGAAATCGCTCAAGCTTTTATTGGCGGTGTTTTTTTCTCATTTCATAAGGTACATCAGTGCAATACTGCTTTCAAATGACGGGATCATGAAAACTTTGTGTGTAGTTGGATTAGACTCTTTAGAATTAGAATTCCAATTTACAGTATAAATTATCAACATACTCTATTAAAGTAGAATGTTATATAAGTAGGTATATTAATTTGTTATATTAAAATAGAATATATGACTTGTTATCACTACAAATATGTGTTAACTTATAGTAATACACAGTATGTAATGTACAACATATGTTTTATCCTACAGTATATAAAATGTTTTTGTTGTACAGTATATAAAGTATATTTTGTTGCTAAGAAAATGTTTAATGTTATGTTTGCTTTGGTAAGTTCTTGTATGTATGTGCATGTGTGTGACTGAAGGGCTAAATGTGTAATGGAAGTATTTTGCATATGTATGCCTTCCTCCTTAAATAACTCTGCAGGGTAGATAGATGGCGGTTTTCAAATCATGGAAAACATCTATAAACTGCATGCTAGGACAGGTGGATGTTTTCAACTCATGAAGGCAGAGTGCTTCTGAAATACTTTTGAGAACTGCCGGTAATGTTAGTCTTTTCTTTTAGACGGGCCTTCAACAGTCTGTTTTGCTGTACCTTGCAGTGTTCCATGTTCTACCTTTTTCACTCATAGGGATTCTGGAGATCAGCAAAAAGGTAAGAATTCATTTCTTTTTTTTTCAAAAGATGTTATTTATTTTTAGAGAAAGGGGAAGGGAGGGAGACAGAAGGAGAGAAACATCAACATGAGAGAGAAACAATGATTGGAGCCTCTCATATACCTCCAAAGAATTCATATCTGAGTTAATTGCAACATTAATTTTTTGACAGTAAGATGCAATGTACTCATTTAATTATTTATTAGGTGTTTTGATTAGAAATGTTCCCAAGTACCCAAGACAAATGTGACTGTTGTTTGGGCATCATTCTGCAAACCTAAAGGTCAATGGTTCAATTCCCGGTCATGTCACGTACCTAGGTTGCAGGTTCAGTCTCTGGTTGGGGCACATAGGAGAGGCAACCCATTGATGTTTCTCTCTCACATCAGTGTTTCTCTCCCTGCCTTTCTCCCTCACTTACCCTCTCTCTTTTTAAAAAAAAATGTTACTTTGTTACTTACTGTAAAAAGCTTGCTGATCTAGTTTATTTTATTTCACAATATATGAGAATATTTGACATGGGAAGAGAGGTTAATCATTTCTTTATCTTTCTGCGTGTTTTTATACCTCTCATGTAGATAGTGTTAAATACCTGTGGTCATTAACAAACCACTATTTTATAAAATTATTAAATGAGTAAGGTATTTTTCCAGAGGGCTCTTTCAAAGTTTGTTAAAATGAGCATTAAATAAGGCAAAAAGATGCAACAAAATGCCTCGTTTTAATGACAAGATATAGATGTGAAACTTATGATATATAAGCAAGCCTTATAATTAAATATGTACATTTCTAACTCAGTTTTGGATTTTATTATTATTGCCATTCTTCTTGATTTGTGGAGTGGTTATATGGGAGAAAAGAAAGGACAAATTTCTTTTGAGTAAAAGACTTAATAGTCTCCTTTCTTTTAAAAAAATGGTTACTTATTTTGGGTGAATAGTTATTTGTTCTACTAGTCTTTAACTAAGCCCATAAAATATTATAAAGGACCAATCTTAGGGGTCCACTAAAATTCATATACTAAACTGCATAAAGACTAACGAATAATATTAGTTCTTTATGAATTGTTTGTTTTATACAAGGCAGTTTGAGCATTTTACAACATTATAACCTAATGTATTCAACTAGAAAGTTAAGCAGGTAGTAAATGGAGGAGCTGGGATTTTAGTCTAGATTTGACTCCAAAGTACAAACCAAATTTTAAAATAGAATGGCTACTTTATTATAGCACTCATTATTTGAAACTATGTTTGTATTATACAAGTTCTTCAAAGTGGGGAAGGAGGATCAGTGAGCAAAAAGTCATGAGCTAATCAAGAGCAAAGCAATGTATAATTTACCTTCTGAGAGATGACTAAAACTCATGAATATAATATTTCTCTTTATGCTTGTATATTAAGTAATTGTGTTTACTTATTATAGTCTACAACAGGAATGAACACTTAGCAGTCATAAATTGTCTCTGTTTATTCTTACATGTCCAAGATTAAATGGTTACTTGGATTACTTTGATTATAGTTACTTGGAATTGAAGTGTATCTCTCACTTACCATGTATAATAAGGCCGCCAGGCGCCCAGCTCAGAATGCACTTTAAACTATTTACTGGGGTAGTAAATCTTTATGTAATTTGTTTTTAGTAGAAATAGACACAGATTGTCACATAATTTCTAGTTGTCCTTTCATTGCTGTGAATATTCGTCTATGTTAGCTTTTGTTAAATATTAAAATAGGCATAGGATCAAGTTCATCAGAGCTCTGGAGAATCAAGGCAGGGTCCAGTGCACAGAAACAGTGAGAGAACAATGAACCAAAGCCTTACTCAAGGTTAGCTAGATTAATGGCTCAATAAGTGTTTGGTCTTTAATTTGTTTGATTTTTATATGACTAAAAAATTAAGCACTATTAAAGATTTAAAGAACAAGGTAATGATAAAAATCTGGAGCTGGCTGTTTCTTATTAGAATTACTTTCTTAAATCCAATCTCTCCTCCTCTAATTAGTTAAAAAAAGAAGTCTCTTTATAAATAATATTTTAACAGAAGAGTAGGCCCCTGGTAGGATATGCACAGTAAATATTCATTTAGAGTTAGATGGACCCAGTGTCAACCTATATGCATGAGGAATACAATTTGTTATTAAAAGATATTGATAAAACTGTGAAGCAAATGAATGCTGCTGCATCTCTAATTAGTGCTTTATCCTGAGATTCCAGTGACTTACCACTCATTCCTAATAACACCTTAGTTTCAAGTTTCTAAATTATAAATACCATATGATCCTAGGCAGCAATGTTGTAGTGATAGCGTGAATATTAAGCAAATGTGCAAACCACTGTGAACACTCAGAGGATTGGCCTTCTGGTCTTTTCTCAGGTGATATCTACCTTTCCCCTCAGATTTTCGGGAACGTCACAGACGCTACCTTATCTCATGGAATACTGATTTTGATGTACAGCTCAGGACTGGTCAGACTCTATAGCTTCCAAGCCATCACTGAACAGGTAGAGAAAACTTGAGTTCACCATATGATTAACTTGAGGTTTGGATTGAGGTGTGATGTTTTTAATGCAAAGCTTTCTGAGTAAGACAGTTGTATAAGTTTCTACTCTGCAAAACTATATGAATGCAGGAAGACAAAGTAACCTTTAATAGAGGGGTGGGAAGATAAACAGAAAAGCCCTTGAATAAATAAACATTTTCTATTGTATACATGTGTATTTGATTTTTTTCTCTCTCCAGACAACAAATAAGTAGGTGCTAAAGACACCATTTTTTTTTTGTTTTGTTTTTAGTTCATGCAACAGAAACTTGACTTAGGGTGTGCATGCAGATGGGGTGGGACTACTGGAACTGTGGGAGAGGCTCCTTTTGGCATTCCTTGTAATATTAAAATCACAGGTATGGCTACTATATAGTATTTTTTTGCCTTTAAAAATAAGTGGTCATGTAAATTATTAACTGTAATGATCCAGATGTTTTCCTTATAATTTAGACTCAGTTTTATTTTTGTACAGTATACTACTTGCTGTTCAATAGATGTCAACAAAAATCTATCATTCATTCATTGATGAATTGCAGAAAATGATACTATCTTTGGCCCCTTATCACTTAGTATTTTATAATTCTATAAAATTAACCCACTTCTAAAAAAAGTATTTTCCAAGGAAAATATACTTACCATTCTATCTGAACATAGAGCTTAGACACAGAATCTTCTAGTATACTTAATAGTTGACAAAACACAAAAAATAAAATTGTATAAAATTCTATAAATATAATGGAAATGTTCTATATTTAACTAGCTTATGGAGTTCAGTTTAATAAGGAAAAATTAAATATTACTCAAATTCAGCAATGTCTGTTAAAAGAAATAAACCATGACTGACCAGAATTCACCTTAAAAACCCAAGGATGGTTTAATGTTTGCAGAAAGATACTAAAATCACATGAGTAGCCCTGGCTGGTATAGCTCAGTGGATTGAGTGCTGGCCTGCAAACCAAAGTGTCGCCAGTTCGAGTCCCTATCAGGGCACATGCCTGGGTTGCAGGCCAGGTTCCCAGTAGGGGCACACAATAGGCAACCACACATTGATGTTTCTCTCCCTCTCTTTCTCCTTTACTCTCTCTAAAAATAAATAAATAAAATCTTTTAAAAAGCCACATGAGTAAATTTAAAAATCAAATATATTTTATTATTCTGCTCTCTGTTTATCTATATTCTTAGTTCATTAAGAGTCATTCCTTACTATATTGAGGATGTTTTATTTCCAACTAATAAACATCGTATTTTTAGATGAAATTCCAAAGGGTTTTCTAATATAGTCAGAATTTCTTTTTTTTAGCACTTTTTTAAAAATTTATTTATTTTATTGATTATGCTATTACAGTTGTTCTATTCCTCCCTTCATTCCCCTCTACCCTACCCCCCTGTCCCCACCATTACCCCCCTTTAGTTTATGACCATGTGTCTCAAGTTCTTTAGATTCTATATTTCCCATACTATTCTTGCCCCCCCCCATCTATTTTCTGTCTACCATTTATGCTACTTATTTTCTGTACCTTCTCCCCCCTTCTCCTCCTCCCACTCCCCTGTTGCTAACCCTCCTTGAGATCTTCCTTTCTATGTTTCCACTCCAGATCTAGCTGTCCTTTAGTTGCTTTTGTTTTAGGTGTGGTTGTTAATAACTGTGAGTTTGTTGTCCTTTCACTGTTCATGTTTTTTTAACTTCTTTTTCCTAGATAAGTTCCTTTAGCATTTCATATAATAAGGGCTTGGTGATGATGAACTCCTTGAATTTGATCTTATCTGAGAAGCACTTTATGTGTCCTTCCATTGTAAATGAATCAATGGAGTGGACCAGAAGAAAGCAAATAATGGCCAAACAGAAAAGAGTCAAGAAGCAAGAATTCAAAAAAATGAGGAGAGTCTTAGGAACCTCCAGGACATCTTTAAACACTCCAACATCCGAATTATAGGGGTACCAGAAGGGGGGAAAGGAACAGCCACCAGTGGAAAACTTATTTGAACAAATAGTAAAGGAGAATTTCCCCAATCTGGCAAAGGAAATAGACTTCCAGGAAATCCAGGAAGCTCAGAGAGTCCCAAAGAAGTTGGACCCAAGAAGAAACACACCAAGGCACATCATCATTACATTAGCCAAGATTAAAATGAAGGAGAGAATCCTAGAAGCAGCAAGAGATAAGGGGACAGTAATATAGTCAGAATTACTTAAGACAAGAATTTTTTGTATCATTACTTAACATATTATCAACACATCAAGAAACAGAAATAGATTTTATTGTTTGAAAGATGTTCTTTTTAGTAATAAATGACAAACTATAAAATCCACTGAGCATTCAGTATAACCAATTAAGTTACCCAAGTTTTTAAACAAATTGGACCAGTTGAATTAGGCAATTTTGTGAAAACTCAGCCCAACAATAGTTTCTATAGTCAGTACAAACACTCCAGCAGGAATCTATTAAGAATTTAAAACTATCATCTCTAATGGTAACTAAAATGTTATTTTGAAAAGAATTTCCCCAAATGGTAGCAATGTTATTGTCGAAATGCAGATAAGTTAGTAAAACAAATAATAAATAGGGTGATAAAGTACATAGGGCCTGCAGGGTTGTGCTGTGGGTTAGGTAGGTCTGTATTTGTGGAAAGAGGGCTGGATTTGGAACCAGAATCTTAGTCTGCTACTAGTAACCATCAAACCTGTCTGCTAACTCAGTGGTGTGATAGTGGGCAAATACTGAATCTTTCTGGGCATCACTTTCCTCAACTTCAAAATAATAATCTTTGAAAACATATATGAAATCAGTTGTCATTGTAAAACATTACAAATTTGTACTTTTCTGACATTCGACTAAGAAAAGTAGCATGTTTTATTGGAAAGTTTGAAGTTTTAAATAATCTGTAGAGACTCATATCCTATTCATTTCTTCAAACTTGTTTTTTTAAGATCATAAAAGTCTGTACAACATAATGTTTATTTTAATTTTAAATAACATTTTTCTTAATGCCAGGCATTCATTTTTACTATAGAAAAAAAATGAATGAAATAGAGAAAATTTAAACACTCATAGTCCTCCTGCGTGGTGTTAACTGTTATCACCTTTTAGAGTTATTTTTTACTAATCTTATATTGTGTATATTCTATATGTCTAAAACTAAACATTTACTGTAAATACTCTTTCATAACTTGCTTCTTAAAAAGTCAACTTTGTTGCGGTATAATGTACAAGCACTTAAATGCACTCATTTTAACTATATGGTTTGAGTTCTGCCAACTGTATAGAATCATGAGACCACCACTACAATTAAGATTTAGAATAGTTTTATATTCTAAATTTTCCAAAATGTTCTGCTGTGCCCTTTCCAGTCCATTTCCTCCTCAACCCCAGCCTTAGGCAATTGCTTTCTTTCATTATCAATTAAATTTATATTTTCTAGAGTCTCATATATATGGGACTATCTGATGTTTTTTGTCTGGATACTTTTGCTCAGCATATTATTTTGAAGATTTCATTTTATATTGTCACATATGTCTGCAGACTCACATACTCTTAAATGTTAAAATAATGGGTTGGTAATTTGTTTACATGAAAATAAAGTTCTATATAGCAAAATACAATACAATGTAAACCAATTAAAAAATCAAACAGCAAACAGGACATATTTGCAAAATATACTATAAGGGCTAATTTTCTCAGTATGTAAAGAGTTCTTCAGATCAGTAAGAAAAAGTGGTAACAACAGAAAATGAGCAAAGAATATCGTTCAATAGGAACAGAAGTGTAAATGGCTTTTCATTAGGGGAGGACAAAGCCCAATGTCACTGATAAGAGACATGTAAGTTAAAATTATAAGGTACATCATTTCAAATTCTGAAACGTCAAAAAGTTAGATAACGGGGTTGGCAGAAGTATAAAAGAGGCACTTTCATGTATTTCATATATTGCATGTTCTCCTTGAGCAATTCCATTTCTAAGAATTTATCCCAGATATATCCACATGTGCACAAAATGACAAATGTAACTATCCCCTATGTTATAAAATTACAGAAAAGTTATATCTTATTATAACCATTCTTTTTTTTAATAAACAATACAACAATCATTTGGAACACTTGATGTTAAAACTCCCCTTTGAAGTATCATTGTTTGGCCTTTCACAGACTCAAAGCCTTATAATTATTATTTTATTTTTAATTAGTCTCTTTTATAGTATAGCCAGAAGGACTCATTTTGCTGGCTATCTTATTCTCTTAACACCCCCCAGACAATCTTGTAAATACCTTCCTTTATAGTGACTACTGGAAGGTTTGTGCCTATCCTAAAATTCCTCTCCCCAAGACACGGAATCAACTCTCTCTGAGAACTTCCAGAACATTTGTAAAACAATGGGAGTAGCCTTAGAGGTTAAAATCTGGATTTGGGGGTTAGCAGGGACCCATTAGATGGAGTTGTGCTGCGCAGTCTTGCTGCTTCTTTTGGGCCATTTTTAGCAATTGCTGGGGGAAATATTTCTTTTTAAATACATCTTTTTGCATTGATTTTTTTAAAAATTGAAACCTCTTTTATATTCTCCGTATCTACTTAAAATTTTAATCCCAAATTCAAATTCTAATTATATTTTTTTCTTTTTATAACTCCTTTTTTCCTCATCTACTGTCATTTTGTAGTCACCATATTACTGCATATGATGTTTGTATTTCTTCCATAATTTACATATGTCATTTGTCCATTTTCCTTTTGGGGTGCTTATATTTTTCTTATTATTTAAAAGACCTCTTTATATATTAAGAATATTACCCTTTTCTTAGTTTTAAAAACCTTTAAATATATTTGATATGTTTATGCCTATCTTTTCCTTCTCAAGATTGTCAGTTTGTGAACTCACTCTTCATTATTTGGCTTTTTCCCTATGTATAACACTAAGTAAATTGTGCTGATGAAGAGGCCTAATAAAGCACACATTTCTATGATAACACGACTCAAGTAAATGTTCTCCCTAAGATAAGCCACTTTACTGACACCATACTGAGAGCTGATGGCCACCTCAACCAAAGATTACACTCTCAAGTCAAGGAGTAAACAAAGGAATCATAGATCAGCCACTTGCACAGACAGACATGTGGTGCTTCACAAGGCTGCCCAAAAGGAATTCTGATCTTCTAAAGCTGCTTTACCATCTGCTTATGTATTTTTGTAAGAGTAAGTCTATTACACTCTACCTAAAATTAATTGTCATCAAAGAAGAAGACTGAGTAGCACCAACAGATTATGGATATACTTTGGAGATATTGTGGATTCGGTTCTAGAACATCACAATAAAGCATACCTCAAAGATGCTGTGAGCTTGGTTGCAGACCACCACATCAAAGCAAAGCATTGCAATAAAGTGAGTCAGAATCTTTTTGTTGGTGGAGGGTCTTATCTCCAGTTTGTAAAATATGCAACCCTTGTGAAATGCAATAAAGCAACGCACAATAAAACAAAGTATGCCTGTATTTCTCATATGATGTCAATCTCCGAAAGACAGTGACTGACTGGATGTATCTAAACTACCTTAAAGTTAACTTGGCTAATGATATAGTAGTACTGGCTGTCCTTTAATAAAGCTTCTATTGTGACAGGACCTATCCTAACTGGTTACATTTATGGTGACTAATATTGCTTCTACACTGGAAATCCGAAGCAAGACTGCTCTTGCAAAGTTTGATAAGTATAACCTGTTAGTGTAGATTGTAGAAGGTATCTTCCTCACGTTTGAAGGAAATATTAGACCTAATTACCTTACAGGATTATTATGAGAGTTGGAAATAGTATCTAACCCAGTTTTGTATGTACACAGCAGATGCATAGTAAATGGCAGCTGCTTTTATTGGATGTTCTTTGTCATTTTTGCCACCATAAGCACCTTCAGTCCTCTGTTTATCTCTATTCAGCTCCACACATACCTGAAAAGAGATGTCTAGAAACTTGACTCATAGCCTAACATTTGATTCCTATCAGCTTTCTTTTTTCTTAGCAATAAGCATCTTTCCTGATAGTATTTTCTTAAATGTAGTAATTTTTCATTAATGGAAACTCATAGATGATGTATGCAAAGAAAGGTTGAACTCAGTTAATCAATGTTCCAAGGCTACCAGAGCAGAGAAGGCTAATAAGTTTCTTTTGCCCATCTCTACAGACACGCCGCCGCTGCTCTTCGAGGTCTCCTCCCTAGAGAATGCCTTTCAGATTGGAGGCCATCCTTGGCACTACATCATCACACCTAATAAGAAGAAACAGAAAGGAGTTTTCCATATTTGTGCCCTTAAAGACAATTCCTTGGTAAATCATAAGTGATCAGACCTTTTAGTAGCAAATTAGTGTCAGATTCTTTCTTTGCTACCTCTCTAATAGGTTCACGTTCCTAAGGGTTAATTTTTTGTTTGTACTGATTTGTGATTAATGTATAGTAGAAAAGAGAACAAGAATGTAGCAAAGGCTTGTGTTACCTAGAATTTAAACATTAACATTTGAACATTTTTAGGGCACCAGAGATTACTTAGGGTTTTTTTTCCTTACCAACCTTCTAGCAAGCAGTTCCCTGCAAAACATCTCTGAAGCTTCCATGGTGGGAATCGTTGATGAAATATGTTCAGGCTGCCTCTGAAATTGCTGGTGGAATGTGTTGGTGGTTCTGCTTTTTCATGGTTTGTTGCTATTTGCTTTCCAGAACAGAACCAAATAGAACTCTGATGTTCAGAATGTAAGCCATGAAACACTTTGTACTTTCAAGGCTGTTCTTAAATTATTTATGGCAAAATAGAAATAAATGGTACATGGTAAGACAACAGAAATTTCTACCCATTAAATCTATTTTTCTTCATTTAAAAAGTTATTTAGGCATTGATTTATCATTTAATAAACATTATTTAGGATCCACTGTGTGCCAGACATGACTGGGATACATTTCCTCCCCTCAGACTGCTTACACTCAAAAGAAAGCAAATATGTAGATAAATTATGAATAGCTGCTGTCTGTTAAGTACAGTGATTCAGGTCAGTGCAAAAGAGTGAGTGCACAGAGGAGGGGGTTCCATCTTATTTCGTATTGCTGATTTAGTTTTGTTTATTTCTGGAACCTCTTGATGTATCAAATGAACTTACTTTTCTGAGGCAGACTCAGCTTATTCCACACCCATCTCCTCCAGGATCTTCCTCAGTCCCTGTTGGACCCAACAGATTTTAAAGTCATGAGTCACCATTTACCATGCTGAAGATCAGCCCAGTCTTGGGTTCATTTCTCTATTTCCCTTGATGTCATGGCCACCAGGGGGCACTCTGTATAGTGTCTTCTAGTTTTGTTTTTGTAAGAGCATTGTTCCCTTCTGATTTTTCATTTACATCTCACATATGGCAGCTCCTGGTTGGCCCAGCCCAGAGATACATTCTTCCACAATAGACTCTTGAAGGGCACTTTCCTGCCATGACGAGTCTGGTTTGATTGCTCACCTCCCAGCCATGAGGACCCCCTTCAGCCAACAGGACCTTGATCTCATTTCTTACTTAACTCTTCCTTCCAGTCAAACCTTACACAGTTCACACAGTTCACATTCTGGATATTTAGTACATATTCTTATATAAGAACTGATAATATTGTTTCGTGTGTGTGTGTATAAAATGGCCTTCAAAGTTCATATCAAGCGTGCCTATCAAGCGCTCCTTCTGAAATAACTGATTATGATCATAACATTTAGTCAAATCTGTATTTCAGCAAATTCATAGAAAATGCCAAATCCAGGGGGAGTTAAAATCCTTGTCCCAGACAGCTTTATTGCAGTGCTGTAGTGATGTATAAGCCCATTACCTCTCCACCTGTCAGTGGGGAGAGTAGATAACCACAAAACACACGCATCCAAACTGAAGAATCCAGAAAATGTTTCATGGCCTTCTATTTAATTGAACTTTAAAATCTACCATTCAAATAAGTAATAAAAATTACAGTAAGTTGGTGATAATGCTGCTCAATGTTTAACACAGAGGGGCGATGTTTCTTTTGTGTTACGGAAGACACTGCAATAAAGAGAATGGTCTCCTAAAGAAAGACAGGTATACTATGTACATGTTTTACAGTAGAGGAGTGTCTGAAGCCAGTGCCCTCAAGGGCACATTCATTTTAGTGGTGGCAACCAAGATGTTTAATTTTGTTGATTTTCTTGTAAAATGTAATGATACCATTATTCCTATTAGGATATTTATTAGATCCTGGAAAATTAGAACTCATTCTCTAATTTGGTACATAAAGTATGTTAAATTCCATTTTTTAAAAAGCATGGCATAGGAAGTGCCTGTGCTGGATCCCCAGCCTGCTCCTGCAGGCTGCTGCACTCTGTACATTTCCGTTTGATTCTGGCTGCTGCTCATGTTTCTGTACACACATGCTCTGTGGAGTTACACTCACGTGCTTTCAATTTTGCTGACTATTCTTTCTAGCCATTTTCTGCTCATCATTTAAGGCTCTATTTAAGCCTTTTTCCTTCCTGAGATTCTGCTTGCCTGGATGGAGGCTTGACAGTGTCCTGTGTGTGGCTCGGTCACTTTGTTTCCCACACTGCCTCATTACTGTCTGTTCATTTTATCTTCCCTCTCGATTATGAGCTTCTTGATGGCAACGATTATGTTACAGCCATGTCAAGTACAAACGCCCAGTGTAATACCTAAAACATAGTGTGCTTTTAGTATATGCCAATGGAATGAGTACATTTGTATTTCAAAACCTGTTGTGAGTATCAAATAGAAAAGATGGTATCATTTCATTTTAAATTGGAGAAATTAAATAATTTGGAGGGCTTGCGTAAAGCAGTGAAGTTTATGTATTCCTAGTACTCCGGTATGTAAGGTAAAACATTCATGTACATATGTGATTGCATATCATGCAGTCTGTACCTTTATTTCAGTGTCTAAATATATTACTGTGAAATAAATCTCTGTACTTAAAGGCTAAGCAGTATTGGACCATTTCCTCAGCATTAGAGTTTAATATCTGACTTATCCAAGGAGATCATATGACCTGTGTCTGAGATTTTGGGTTTATTTTCACATTACCCACTCCTCTGAGTGACAGTTTGCTTGGGATGGGGTGGTGAGGAAGGTGTAGGGGTTGCATGAGCATAGTAATCAGGGCAGAGTTACACAATGGATGTCCATGGACTTTGGAGTCATATCTGCTGTTTAACAGGTACAAAACATTGGACAAATGATTCATACTTTATGTCTTCTCATCCATAAAATGTAGATAACAATATATACTTTGAATGTTAACATCAAATGATATAATGACTGTAAAGCATCTAAGGCAGGGCCTGATAAAAGTTAGGTGTGTTTGAGATGTGGTAACTAGGTTATCATTTGTGAGGTATAATGTATGGTATAGGGTAAGTCTTTGAAATTTCTGAACTTAAATGTTCTAGATTTCTCAAGTTTGAGCGTCCTGATTCAGCCCTCATACACACCCCACTTCAACTGGTTAATATTTTCCCTTCCCTGTCACTGACTGATCTGTAACTGCTGATAGAATTGAAAAAAAATTATTTTCTTTTAATCTCTGTTTTCAATATTTTACCCCAACTTCAGGCAAAAAATGGGATCCAAGAAATGAATTGTTGTTCCCTAGAATCTGACTGGATCTATTTTCATCCCGATGCTTCTGGTAGAATAATACATGTTGGCCCAAATCAGGTCAAGTGAGTATTTTCATTAGTTGTTTTAAAATTAAAAGCAGCTTTTGGTAGCATTTATTGGCATCTTAATTTTTTTCCAGCTAACTTTTGAACCAAGTATGGAAGTAATTAGCTGCTTATAGGGTGCTTTCTCAGAGACTAACATCTAGAAAACCTAACTTTATTTATTTTAGCCTCATCATTACTGCTTGTAAATATTACATTCGAATATGTTCTTTGATGGAGATATATAAGTGAAAGAAGATGACAGATTGGCTCATCCTTATTGGGTCTTAGTTCTCCAGGATTAATGAGAACAAAAATGATTTGTCCTTGTTCTTCTTTTAAAAAAATTTTAAAAAATCTATTTTTAGAGAGGGGAAAGGAGGAAGAAAGACAGGGAGAGAAACATCAATGTGTGGTTGCCTCTCACATGCCCCCTACTGGGGACCCGGCCTGCAATCCAGGCATGTGCCCTGACTGGGAATCAAACCAGCGACACTTTGGTTTGCAGGCCAGCACTCAGTCCACTAAGCCACACCAGCCAGGGCATAATTTGTCTTTGTTCTGAATGACAGCCTTACCACAGAAGTAGCGATTGTTTGTCATAAACCTTGTTTTGCTTTGTTTACCCCCATCTTCCAAGAGGTAGCCTCTCTCCTCCTCAGAAGCACTCTTCACTTGACTTCTCTGACACCACGGTTTTCCTTTCTCTGGGATTTTTCTTCGTGTACTTTCATGTTCTCCTACTTTAATGTCAGATGTCCTCAGAACTTGGACCCTCTCCCCTTGTCACTTTTTTCCCTCCAGGATTCTGTATTCTCCTGGCTTCAAAGATCAGAAAATTTCAAATTTTTTATCCCAGCCCAAACCTCTCCCCTAAGATAATGTTAGAAATTTGGAATCATTCTTGGCGCTTTCTTGCCTTCTTGTCTTTCATCAGTGTTCATATACTTAAACAGTCACGTGCATATTTTCTCTCTCTCTGTCACAAACACACACATACCATATATATCCTGTCAGTGCCATTTATTTTGTTATTAAATATTTCTTAAATCTGCCCCTTTCTGCCCTTAGCCACTCTCCCATCTCATTCAGATTATTGTCATCACTAGCCTGGACTGTAGTAATTTAATAGTGTACTCCAAAAAATTCACTTTTGCATTCTCTAAGTCTATTTTTTTTCTCAGAAGCTAAGAGTGATTTTTACAAATGTTTACAAACACAAAAAACTAACCACGTGAATTCTGCTGTAACCTTTTCATGACTTCTTACTGCTCTTGGCATGGTCTGGAAGACCCTCCCTTCAATGCATTCTACTTCAGTCATGCTCTCTGTTCAAAAAGCAGAGGACCCGTTCCCTCTGTTAGGAGTCTTTTTCCCTCAGCTACTCTCCTACCTAATTTCTATTCATATTTAATGCCCCAGCTTAAATATCCCTTTTTCAGAGTCCTTTCCCAATATCCTTATTAGATTAGCTCCCCTGTCATATTTTTATTGCACCCACTATGTAGTCTTCCTCTGTAGCACTTACAGCAATTTCAGTTAATTATTTGTGTGAATATCTGTTTAAATATCTAGCTTTGGAAGAATGAGCTCCATAAGCGAAAGAGTCTGGTTTTCTGATGCCTATAATCCCAGCACTGAGCACAGTGCTTAGCAAGACTAGGTGCTCAGTAAGTGTCTGTTGAATGAGAAGGGCAGTGTTTGCCTTCATTATTCCTTCTGCTTTCGGTTAACTAGTCTATTCTGGATTGAGTATGAGGAGGGCAACTGGACTTAATGAAATTATGAACTTTTATTAAAAGTCTTAAAAACTGTGGTTCAGCTTTAGTAAACCTCACTTTTAATGTTTGTTGCCACCCATCTTTTAACATTAGTTTTCATTTAAGAAAATGAAGCCCACAAAGACTGTGTGCCCTTTTGCCAGGTTTTAAAAGATAGGCATTTTAAAATACTGTTACTGAGAATTCAGTAATTTTAAATGAATCTGATTTCTTCATTTTTGGAAAACTCTAAGGCCTCTGGCTCTTCCTGGCCACAGTAGCTGCTACTCCCTGCTGTTCTCTTTGCCGGCATTTGAGACTTTAAACTTTGAGAACATTGTGCTTTTGAAGCTTGTTAGTGCTATGAACAGATTTGTGTGGGCAGTGAACAAATTATTTTTTCTTGATCCAGGGTGACCATTTGCACTCAGAAAACCCAAATCTGTAAATACAACCCTAAGAAAAAAGAGAAGTATTAAGTCAGTTGCAGTTTTTAAACATTATTCATGAAAACTGTTAGGTTAGGCTTAGTTGCTAATCCAGTCTGTTTTATAGTTAACTCCAAGCATTGTTCATTGATATCTCATTCTGTCTTCAGAAATAAAAATGCAAATATTTACAGGCATACCTCAGAGATATTGTGTGTTTGGTTCCAGACCACAGCAATAACACAAGTATTGCAATAAAGCCAGCCTTAATGTTTTTGCTGGTCTTGCCTTCAGTTTGTAAGAAGTGCAACATCTGTGAAGCACAAGAAAGCGAAGAGCAATAAAACGAGGTATGCCTGTACTGTAATGCCACTGTAAAAGCTGAAACATTAAAGACATGTTGCAGGATGGCACAGATGAGGTTATTTAAAAGTTACTTTCATTAAGTCGGTTTGGAAGGTCTCTTAAGTCTGAGCACACTACTTCATTACCTACCTCAGTAGCATTTGTGGTCACAGATTCTACATTTTCCTGTTTAACAAAATCTCTGAATTTGAAAGAATGTATAGACATCCAAGCGATTAGACATTAATATTTCAGACCAATGAAAAGGAGGAGAGGTAACTCAGTGTTGTTACTATAATTTTCACTTGTTAAATTTCATTTCAGTAGTTCAACTTTGGCGTTTTGATGGTTCATTGAAATCTTAGGTTCTTAGAATCCCTTTTTTTTTTTTTCCCTTTTCAGAGTTTTAAAGCTAAAAGAAGTAGAAAATAGTAGTGCCCAGCATCAGATCTCTGAAGATTTTGTCATTTTGGCTAACAGAGAGAACAAAGTAAGGAGTACTATAAAATCCTTTGTTTATCACTGTCTTTTTAAATAAGAATATGATAGTGCAAATGTGTTTGCCTTCTAGTGTGGTTGAAAAGAACAGCATAATTCTATAAAAGTCTGTTCATTTTGTCTACATGGGTAGCTGGTCTTAACTCCATGTACATAGATTTGAAGAAGAGTTGAGTATATTGAGTTTATGTTTTTCTTATTTCTATTTTTTTTCTGGGTTTCTCTTTAAATTTTTATTGATGAATTATCAACGGTTGGGTTTAATTGCACAAACTTAGAGTAACTGGGGGAAGATATAAATCTTTAAAAATCACATACTATGCTTCAACTCCAGATAGTCTTTTTTCTTTAGTACATAAATTAAGAATATGAAGAAAATCATGCAAAAGGAAATTTCCAAAGCATATTCACTCTATTTGCAGTACTATACTAACACAGAATCAGAAGGGCAAATAAAGTAGCAAATCTGTAAACTTTGTGTTTATTTTTTGCCTACCTTAGTATTTCATTCATTAAAAACTTTACTGTTTTTTACTAATTGGAAGATTAGTAATCTGATTCAGAATTTTATCAGTTGAGAAAAGAATTGTGGATATTGGAGAAGGGTTGGTTAATTTTGCCAAAATTTGTTAATATAATTTGGCAATTGACTGCATGTTATAGGACTTGTCACATCTTTTTATTTCTTTCCATATGCTAGAATGAAAACTCACACACTGTTACTGCTTCTGGACGGGTGGTAAAAAAGAAATTTAACCTTCTGGATGACGACCCAGAACAAGAGGTATTACTTTAGCCAGAGATAACAAATCGAAGTAGTGTGCACTTGCCCTGTGGTTTTTAAATTGTGCTTCCCAGACTCTAAGGTAGAGGTTGGGAGTAAGCTCCACACAGGCTTGCTGGGCGGGATTGTGCGTACTATTCCAACCAGTGCGTCCCCAGTATCTTCTCTTTTCAGATTGAAATTATTCATAAGATTTTATTTGCAGAAAAGTTCATAGGACTGAAATAATTTGAAAATACCATTAAATTATTGATTTGTTTTGTTAATGTGCACACTTTCTAGGGATATCTCTTAATAGAAAATTCTTGAGTTATATCCTGATGACTTTACGGCTTTTGCCTTATTTTTTACCTACTAGACATGGATATGTTTGGTAATGTCCAGGGGCCATGGAAGAAGGGTATTAAGTATAGTAAAGCAGTCCGGCCTCTGGCCTCACTCAGCACTGCTAGTCACTGAGCTAATTCATTTTTATACTTTTATTTTAAAAAGGCATTGGAAGGGCTTTTGAAATCAGCTCACAGTTATCATGCTTCAGATATATAATCATTATATACATACTAAATCCATTTAGACCATAAAACTATATTGTTTGTGTGACTCTTTCCAGGTAGAAATATTAGAGTAGTCTTCTAAGGATAGTTTTAAAAAACTTTTTTTAAGTATATTTTATTGATTACATTGTTACAGTTGTCCCATTTCTTTTCTCTTCTTTCTCCCCCTCTGCCTGGCACTCCGCTCCTTCCAGCATTACCTCTGCCCTTAGTTCATGTTCATGGGTCATACATATAAATTCTTTGGCTTCTCCATTTCCCATACTATTTGTAGCCTCCCCCTGTCTATTTTGTACCTACCAGTTATGCTTCTTATTCCCTGTACCTTCCCCCCATCCTCTCTGCTTCCCCTCCCTGCTGATAAGCTTCCACATGATTTCCGTTTCTGTGATTTTGTTCCTATTCGAGTTGTTTGTTTAGTGTTTTTATTTTTTTTTAGGTTCAGTTGTTGATAGTTATGAGTATGTTGTCATTTTACTATTAATATTTTTTATCTTCTTTTTCTTCGATAAGTCTCTTTAACATTTCATATAATAAGGGCTTGGTGATGATGAACTTTAACTTGACCTTATCTGGGAAGGACTTTATCTGCCCTTCCATTCTAAATGATAACTTTGCTGGACAGAGTAATCTTGGATATAGGTCTTTACCTTTCTTGACTTGGAATACTTCTTCCCAGCCCCTTCTTGCCTGTAAGGTCTCTTTTGATAAATCAGCTGACAGTCTGATGGGAACTCCTTTGTAGGTAATCTTTCCTTTTACAGAAAGTCTTGAAAATCCCGAAACTGGTGTTTTAGGCACAAAAGTAGAGACACATTTCTCCTTATATTCTCACCCATTCATTCTTTTTCTACATATATTCACAAGTAACAATATAGTTAGACGACAAATGCAGAGATAATCTAACTGAATAACTGGATTTGTCCCTCTTTTCCTCTGTCTTACCGTCTATTCCCCCAAGACTTTCAAAATTGTGGACTATGAAGATGAATTGGATTTGCTTTCTGTGGTAGCTGTTACCCAAATAGATGCCGAAGGAAAAGCTCACCTAGATTTCCATTGTAATGAATATGGAACTTTACTGAAAAGCATTCCACTAGTGGAGTCTTGGGATGTGGTGAGTAGAGTTCATGGAATACAAAGTGGTAAGAGTTCTCTTTATAGGTGGCATTTATTAAAACAGATGTACTCTGTTTGTGTCAGTCCAAGCTCACCTGGAACAATGGCCACCTGGAAGAGGTTATTGGACTACACTCTGGACAAAATGATTGTCCAGATTGTATTTCGTAAGACTTCCTTCTCTTGGGACTAGAGGATGTTGCCTTACCAGTGGCCTTAAAGATAAAGCCTTATGGTTTTTTTCCTGAGACATGCTGTTTATTTCCTTTCCATAGTGTTTGTTTTCTCTCACATTTCCTTACCATGGTCTTTCGTTTCTCTCACATTTTAAAAGTTTGGTAACATTAAAAAAAAAAAGGTTTGCTTATTGTATTGCATCCCCACAGTTATTTAATAGAGGTCATATCTCAGTATGTAGGGTTTCCAGGCAGTCTTGGAAGCATTGGTCTACTCTTCTGAGTATTATAGAATATAAGAGTTGTTAGGAATAGTAGACATTATTCTATCCAATTCTTGTTTTATTAATGGAAAACCTGAGGAGTTTAGCAATGTGCCCACAGTCACATGGTAAAACAGTTGCAGGGTTGGCAATAAAATCTGGGTGTTCAGACTCCTAAGTCTGGGGCTCTTTTCATTCTCAGCATTTTGTGCCATGCTTTTCTCATAAGTGACCTGCATATCCACAAGTAATGAAAAATAAACCATTTCTGGCAACTATTTTGCCCCCCGGTGTATATTTGAAGATCCCTAATATGGGTACTGTGATGTTTTAGTGTTATGGGAGTGAATATGGTTATATGAAGAGCCTCCGTTTGACTGTGTTTTCATTGCAGACGTACAGCCATGAAGTTTATTTCGACAGAGACTTGGTGTTGCACATAGAGCAGAAACCCAGCAGGGTCTTCAGCTGCTATGTTTACCAGATGGTCTGTGACCCTGGGGAAGAAGAAGAAACCACAAACAGAAGTTGAAAAAAAGAGTGAGATCACTTTAAATTTTGAGATGTAACGTATGAGGCTTTCAGCCAGGCACCCCAGCAACTGTGTCCAGTCCTCTTTTTTATTACCCACATATCAAGTTCTCCAGCATTTTCCAGAAAAGATCTTGTAATTACTTTAGATGACTGTGACTTCTTTTGTAAACTTGCCATACAAGAGTGGTGAGAACTTCATCTTATATAAAGGATTTTTAGAATGCTCTCCCAAGAAACCTAGCATTTTAGAGCTTTTAGGTAGGTGGTGATGTAAATGTAAAATGTATTTCAATTAGGTGTTTAATATGACTCTTAAAGGGTAGTGTGAAATTGTGATTGCTAAGACTAAGAAGGAAAGACAAAAAGAAAGATAAAAAGATAAAGAAAGAAATTCTGTGTCCTCTATACCAAACTTTGTTTAAGGATGAGAAATGAGATCTGGAATGTGAAAGCATACTTTTGAACCAAAAATGCATCATTGCAGTTTTTTAAAAAATCTTATATATGTGTCTATGTTTTATATTTGTACAGATTATTTTTCCTTCCATGGTTTTATTCTCTTGGCCTGATTTTCCTTAGATTATTTGTGTTTCCATCATAGACTAATGTAAAAGGTTCCAAGCAAACTTTAAGTGAAATTTTTTCCAATATGTAGCTTATTTAGCTATTGATTATTAAAAATATTATACTCATTTAACCATTTTGTTTATTTGGTGTATCTTCCAACTGTATTTAGGCAATCTTATTGTACACCTGTAAAATAAGATAAAGGTACTCTGGATTGCACCAGTCTTGCTCCTGTAGAAGAGCAGGTAGTTCAGAAGTAGTTTGGGAGCTGACTACTTAGCTAGAAAAAAACTGTTGGCTTTAACATATTTGTGAAATGAGTATTTTTTCTCCTTTGTTAGAATTGATCCAAATATGATCCTTGAACTCAGATAATCCTTCTTCAGAATGTTAAATAAAAGCAACCTAAGTAAAAGGAGAAAATATTTCTTGATGCTTTCTGCTTGAGAAATCCTGTTGCTCGCAACACACATGTTCAGTACATTCCACTGAGTCAGCCTTACACTGGTGAAAATACAAGGGGAGAAAACAGCAGTGAGAAAGTCATTGCTCATTTGAATTTAAAGGTAAAAGGGATTTTAGCTTCGATGATTTACATTAAAATCCTTCCATTTTTCCTTCAGCTTTGGTTTGATCTCAAGTTAAGAATCATGTAAATTCTGCCCTTGAAGTTTGCAGGTAAATTTTAAGCTTATTAGAACCAACAGGGCTGAGGAGAGAATAGGTATTAGCTATTCTAGAAGTCAGGAAATTAGCAGACTCCATAAATGTGAAAGAAATAAAAGGAACAAGCCTAAAGCCATCTTTTGTGCAACAATAAAGGAGATTTGTAACATTTTAGAATAAGAGAAAACATTTATATGTGGCTAAAAATTTAATCTGTGTATTATAACCAGTGATTACTTCATCTGCAAGATGATATCTTCATATATTGAATTTGAATATTTTTATAGCCACTAATTGAAAAATTCATTCTAGTTTTATGCATATTTAATAATACTATTCAATATTCGAAGCTTTCAGAGCATTTTAGAGACATGATGTGATTACAAAGCAGTTGAATAGTTTCAATGTGCTAGATAAAACCCCAAACTTCCAATTAGACACTAAGTAAATGGTCCTGCCCAATTAATTTAAATCTTGAAAAAGAGGGAATAGATTAAAAATAGCAGAGAAAAGAAAGAAAGCAGTGTTTCAAAGCAGATATATAAAGCCTACTCTTTGTTTCCATGAATGTTTCAGGAAAGGATGTCCTAAGACTGGAATCCAGTAAGATTTTTTCAAAAAGAGGTTTATTGAGTTTCTTCTTGTCCTTTAAGTTATTTCCTTCTTTTGATGAAATGCTAGAAAGGAAGTCATCTACTCAGAAAGGCATCTGAGAACCAAGATTCCAGTCTTCTTTGTTCATGAGGGGTATGTGGGTGTGTGCTTCTAGACTAATGTCTCACCACTGCCAAAATCAAAGCAGACTAGGATCTAAATGCCACATGGGCCAGGTGGGAAAAGTGCATAGCGTGAAAACAGTAGGGAATTGTGGGCCATGTAACAAACAGGAGGACTGTGCCCCTGTTGAAAGGACAAGGACAACTGCTACTACTTAGTTTCAGGAATTTGCAATGTTACATGGGAATGTGGGCTGCATGAGGGTTAACAGGATGGTTGATGAAAAGATGGCAAACAATACAGAAGATAGCAAAGAATATGGGAAATTTATAGATAACACACATACCAGGAGATAGTATAATGGTTCCCAGAAAAGAAGCTCCTCATCTTCCCCCAGTGGTAGACAGCTGCTCATTCTGTCACCTGCCAGGCCTGAGACTGTCCTTGTGGGGATGGAGGGCAGTTGTGGTTTAGAGCCTCCCACCCCACTTTAACCCTCCTCTATCTGACTGTGTTAGAGGCCTTCCCTGTGTGCCACCTACGTAACAGGTGCTAGCGCCAGGTGTACAACATTATGGGGTGACATTTCTGAGTGTTTAATGCAAGACTAGGTGAAGCAGAGTAGCTTCCTTCAGCAGGTCTAAATGGTAAGCTTTAAGAGGTGTATTTCTTCATTTTGCTTCTTGATCTAAGATTCTGTATTCTCGCCATATCAATGCAGCATGATTATTCTTTGATTTTCTAAGGCATTTCTCATAACACTGGGAGAAAACAAAAGATATCACAGTTACTATTTGAACTACCTAGTGAGGTGATATTGTTGTACTTAACAAATTAAGGTGCTCCACATTCTTCCACCAATTGAATGTTTTGTGTCTTGTACATACTATTTTTTAAATGGTAGGTTATATTTATTGAGTGCTTTCTACCTACCAGTCATTGTGATACAAGTGAAATGAATTGTTTCAACATTCAACATGACAGTATGAAGTGTGAAATACGTTATACAGATGAAGAAAGTGAGGATCACAGAGTTAATTCGCCTGGGTCCCACAACCAATAAGTGCAGAGATGGGAAACATCCAGATTTGTTTGACAGAAATTCATGCCAAATTTCCTCCAAAACTCCCAAAGAGCAAAGGATGTTATTTTACCCCATATATAGCGTACTGACAATTACAATGTTGGATACATAGGAAAATGTTTAATAAGTGGTTTTTAAATGATGATTGAATGGGATAAACAATGATAGCCAAATTTGGGACAAAGTCTGGTTGAATATAGTTGGCTGATCTGTATGTCACATATGGAGACATAGGAGACGATTCTTCATTCAATGGTGAGAAATAATTTTTTATTATTTATTTATTTTTAGAGAGAGGGGAAGGGAAGAAAGAGAGAGAAAGAAACACCAATGTGTGGTTGCCTCTGCTGCGCCCCCCACTGGGGACCTGGCCCACAACCCAGGCATGTGCCCTGACTGGGAATCAAACCGGTGGCCCTTTGGTTCACAGCCCACACTCAATCTATTGAGCTACACCAGCCAGGGCAGAATTAATTTTTAAAAAATGTACAAAAAGTGTACTCTCATCCTATTTATGGTGTTAATAAACATAGTATTAGTAATTACTTTTAGTATAACTTGGCTTTCTTTTCAATAATATTTATATATTTTAACTTTTTTAACCATATTTACATATATCATCTATATTTTAGAATTTCAGGAAAATTTCAGGGGCTGATTTTTGGTTCCTTTGTTGCTGTAGAATCTCTATCTTATAGAAAAAATAATTTATTTTGGGCAAAGGCTATATTATAGAAAGAGAAGACCAACTAAGGTTTCCCCATCATTTCATTATCAAACTTTTCAAAGATATTGTTATTAGTTGACAGAATTTTATGATAAATACCCAAATACCAACCACATGGATTCTACATTTCACTCTACATTGTTTTTTTAATTTATCTATTAATGTTACTTTTATAATTCATTTCAAAATCAATTGCAGGCATTGGTATTCTCCTTAATACTTCAACATGCGTATCATTATATAGTTTAATACTATTCAGTTTTTAAACTTTTCGATGTCCACTTACATGCAATGAAGGGCACAAATGTTAATCATAAATTTGCTGAGTTGTTGCAAGTGCACCCACCTGTGTAACCTAAACCCTTTACAAAACTCAGAACATTATAGTCACCCCAGGAAGTCTCCTCATGCCCCTTTGCAGTCAAGCCGGCTCTACCCATCAGGTGGAACTACTGTTCTGATTCTGTTACCTCACAGATTAAATTTGCTTATTCTCAAACTTTATATAAATGATACCATACAAAGCATAATGATTCTTTCAATCGGCATGTTTTTGAGAATACTTCATGTTGTATTCATCCATGGTTCATTCCTTTATCGCCGAGTATTCTTTGTATGAATGTGTCACAGTTTTGTGCGCGGTTTTTTGTTTTTCTGTTGATGGACACCTGGGCTGTTTCTACTTTTAAAAAACCCTATTATGAATAAAGCTGCTGTGAATATTCTATCATATGTCTTTATTCCTCAGAGGTAAACATCTAAGGATGAAGTTGTTGGGTCCTAGAGGAGGAATATGTTAAGTGTCATAAACTGCCAGACTTTTTTTCCAACAGTCTTCCAGTGCTCCATATTTTCTCCAGCTTTTATGGTTTTTTAATCTTTTTTATCTTAGTGTTTATGGTGGGTGTGTAATCTTTTCGCTGATGCTCAGGTTGTTTCTACTTGTGCCTAGCAGTCCTGCCCTTGGGTTTACCACTTTACCTCTGTGACACCAGCCCCCATCAGGAACTAATGGAAACATTTCTGTGTGTGTGGTAATAGTTAAGATAACTCAAAACTCCACTTGAATTGTTCTTTTTCAAACATGCAATACATTGCTCAGCAAGTCCTTTAATGGAGACCAACACTGGAGAACAAACCTGGGTTCCTAGGGGTGCACGTTAGACTGTGGCGTGTGGCTAAGGGGGCGGGATGGAACAGCACCAGAGAAGAGGCTCCATGAAGCATTGTAATAAAAGAATATGATCATGTTCTTTAAAGGCTATAAGTTCATGTTATTTCTAAATCAGTGAGATTTCTGCTCTAAAATGGAAGCATGTTAAACAAGCTTTATCCTTTCCCCAATGACGGTTATGGAGCCCAATGTGGTTTTAATTTATATTTCTTTATTAACTAATGGTGATAAGCACATTCTCATGTTTTTATCTTCCATGTGTAAATTTTACACTTTATTTACAAACTCATTGGGGACATACAATAAAATATATATGTATTTAAAGTGTACAATTTGGTGTTTTTATATGTATACATAACATGAAGCCATCACCACGATCAAGGTAATTAACCTCCATCACCCCAAAGTTTTCCCTTGCTTCTTCATAATCCCTCCCTCTCACCTCTCCCCACTTTCTAAGAAAACTGCTAATCTGTTTCACTTTAGGTTAGTTTGAGTTTTCTAGAATATTATATAAATAGAAGCACACAACAAGTCTTTTTGGCTTCTTTCACTAAATATGGTTATTCTGAGATCCATCTGTATTGCACATATCAATAGTTCACTTCTATTCCTGAGTAATACTACATTGTTTGTGGATAATCACAATTTAATACATTTACCTGTTAATGTCCATTTGGGTTGTTCCCATTTTTTTGGCTACCACAAATAAAGCTCCTGTGCATATTTGCAGACAGATTTGTATGGACATATGCTTTAGTTCTGCTTGGTAAAAACCAGGGGAAATGGCTGGGGCATATGTTAGCTATGTGCTTAACTTTTTAAAGTTTCCAAATTGTTTTTCCAAAATGGCTGCACCATTCTATATTCCCATTGTCAGTCAGTATATGAGAGTTCCAGGTGCCCCCAAATCTTGCCAACACTTGCTTTGGTCAGTCTTTTTAATTTTAGAAATTTAGGTTTCACATTTAGATTTATAATCAGTTTTTGTTCATTTGTATGGTGCAAGGCATGGATCAAAGGGATTTTGTTTTATTTTTTTGTTGTTATTTTTTGCATATGGCTGTCCAGTGCATAAAGATAGTATTCAGTTCACCACTAAGTATGATATATTAGCTGTAGGTTGTTCATAGAAGCCCTTTATCAATTTGAGGAAGTTCCCTCCTAGTCCCAGTCTTCTGAGTTTTTATTGAGTATAGATGTTGGAGTCTGTCACACTCTTTTTCTGCATCTATTGAGATGATCATATGTTTTTTCTATTTCAGTCTGTTAATATAGTTAGTTACATTGATTGGTTTTTTAATGTTAAACCAACCTTGAATTCTTGGGATAAACCCATAGGAGACCTCCAAATTACCAACTGTGTTTTAAGTCAGATAATTTCTGCTGTTCCACATTCACATTGTATGAAAAATAATTTGTAAAATTTACCATCACATCTGTACTGTGGTACACATTAATAGATTCAAGCTCATTACATTTAGATGACTTTCTGCCTTTACAAATAATTTCCAGACATTTATTGGCCCTTTGCCAGAGGTTTCATATTCATATAAACAGAAGTTAGCAAGTTAGGATTTATGACCTTGAAGGAAATACGGGCATGTTGCCAGCCTCTTACTCTCTTATTTCAGTCCACAGGGTTCAGATGCTAAATTGTACCTGAAGTAGAAAAGTCAGTTCATATCTTCATGACCCCGGTTACTTCTTTGAACCTATTTTAGTTTAATATACTTTAAAACCTTGAACCAACTTCCAGCCAAGATGGAGGCATAGGTAGACACACTGCCTCCTCGAACAACCAAAATAAGGACAACAATTCAGAAACAAAGTAACAACCAAAACTGAAAGAAAATTGAACTGTATAGAAGTCCAACAACCAAGGAGTTAAAATAGACACATTCATCCAGACCGGTAGGTGGGGCACAGTCGGGTGGCCGAGCACAGAGGGGTCGCAGCACAGGAAGCAGTGACACTGGGCGCGCAAGGTACCCCAGGAGCTCAAGGCGGCAATAGCAGACCCTGGGCACCTAGGCGGCAGCTGGCAGACCCCGTGCGTGGGGTGGCAACAGGCAGACCCAGCAAGGTGCTGATTGAGAAGCAGGGCACCATGCACAAGGCGGCTGGCTGACCAGGCAGCGGTCCCACATTCATGTGCAGGTAACTGTGGAGTGAGACAGATTGCACAACCCAGGGTCCTAGCAATGGGAAATAAAGCGTCAAAACACCGATTGGAAACACTCGTGGGGGTTGAGGCGCAGGGAAAGACTCCAACCCTCACAGGAAAGTTTATTGGAGAAACCCACAGGGTCCTAGAATGCACACAAGCCCACCCGCACAGGAATCAGCATCAGAAAGGCCCAGTTTGCTTGGGGGAAGCAGCAGAAGGGACTGAGGTACAACAGAGAGCAGAGCAAAGCGCCATTTTTTTTCCCTCTTGGACCCCACCCCCATATACAGCATCACAACCCAGCAAGTTGGGTTGCCCTGTCCTGGTGAACACCTAAGGCTCCGCCCCTCATACTTAACAGGTGCAAACAGACCAAAACATTATGGCTCAAGTAGAAAAACAGCTCAAAGCCCCAGAGCCAATACTTCTAAGCAACCAAGAGATAGCCAACCTATCAGATGCACAGTTCAAAACACTGCTGATCAGGATGCTCACAGAACTGGTTGATTTTAGTCACAAATTATATGAGCAAATGAAGGCTACACTAAGTGAAATGAAGCAAAATGCACAGGGAACCAATAGTGATGGAAAGGAAACTGGGAATCAAATAATGGAGTGGACCAGAAGGAAGAAGGAAACATTCAACCAGAACAGAATGAAGAAACAAGAATTCAGAAAAATGAAGAGAGGCTTAGGAACCTCCAGGACATCTTTAAACATTCCAACATCTGAATTATAGGAGTACCAGAAGGGGAAGAGGAACAGCCACCAATGGAAAACATATTTGAACAAATAATAAAGGAGAATTTCCCCAATCTGGCAAAGGAAATAGACTTCCAGGAAGTCCAGGAAGCTCAAAGAGTCCCAAAGAAGTTGAACCCAAAAAGGAATACACCAAGACACATCATAATTTCATTAGCCAAGATAAAAATAAAGGAGAAAATCCTAGAAGCAGCAAGAGATAAGGAGACAGTAACCTACAAAGGAGTTCCCATCAGACTGTCAGCTGATTTCTCCAAAGAGACCTTCCAGGCAAGAAGGGGCTGGAAAGTATTCTAAGTCATGAAAGACAAGGACCTACATCCAAGATTGGTCTATCCAGCAAAGCTTTCATTTACAATGGAAGGACAGAAAAAGTGCTTCTCAGATAAGGTCAAGTTTAAGGAGTTCATCATCACCAAGCCCTTATTATATGAAATGTTAAAGAGACTTATCTAAGAAAAAGATGATAAAAAACATGTATACTAAAATGACAGCAAAATGAAAATTACCAGCAACCACACCTAAAATAAAAACAAACTAAGGAAACAACTAGAACAGGAACAGAACCACAGAAATGGAAGTCACATGGAGGGTTAGCAACAGGGGAGTGGGAAGAGGAGAAGGGGGGAAAAGGTACAGAGAATAAGTAGCATAGATGGTAGGCAGAAAATAGACAGGGGGAGGGCAAGAATAGTATGGGAAATGTAAAAGCTAAATAACTTAAGACACATGAACATGAACTAAAGGCGGGGGAATGTGGGAGGGAGAGGGTGTGCAGGGTGGAGGGGAATGAAGGGGGGGAAATGGGGCAACTGTAATAACATAATCAATAAAATATATTAAAAAATAAAAATAAAACCTTGAACCACCATGGAAGTGGTGACAGAGTTAACTAAATTCATAAAGATACAATTAGTGAAGGAATTCATATTGAGGCCACTTTATCTGCTTGGATAATAAGCATTTTTAAATTGGTCTCTCAAATGAAATTAAAAAAAAATAATTTACTGATGGTTCTTTACCAATTCTTTTTACCAATAAAAGTTTAGTGGCTCAACTAAGTATGTCTGATTTTCTCTTAGAAGGGCATTTGCTCAAGCAGCTAATTGTTTCTGAATCCTATTTTCTTTATTGTATAGCCAACCCTTTCATTTATGTTCTTTTCTTCTCTTTTTTTTAATGTTGTTTAAGTACAGTTGTCTCCCTTTATCTCCCACCTCTTAAACTCCATTTTTTTTTCTTTGAAAATCACAAACTTCAAGGGCACAGCTTTTCATGCTCTGCCTGTAAGAGCAGCAAGACTGGCTAAAGCAAGGTTAAAGAATTACAGTTTAAAAGCCATTCTAACACTTAATTTTCCTGTCTGTAACTGTCCTTCCCTCTTCAGAGAGCAAAACCAGTGAGACATAAAGCACTTCTGAGCCCCAACCTTTCCTACTTCTGAAACCTAAATTATTACACAATGTCTGCTTGAAGATACACTGACAGTCTTGTGTGAACTTCGAGAGGTCCCTGGGCCCGCCGCCTCCTCTAATACAGCATTGCAAACATTCCACTCCCAAGTTTGTCTTCGTCCCTCCTATCAGCTGGACTCCTGACACAGTGTTTTCCATTTGAA